TGAGACGTTTAATGACACTGGGAGGGAGTCAGAAATCCTGATATCCAGGCTCGTGTCATAAAAAACTCTGTGAATCACCATAAACCAGCTTTCTCCATCAGGTAAGTAGTTTCCCGGTCTTTTTTGGGAAAATCCAACGAAAAGCCGAAAACCTGCCGTTTATGCGTGGGGGTGGCTCACAACTTTTTGGGTGTAGCCTTGGCAGCAAATGAGCTGCCCTCCCTGCTTTGCTCAAAGCTGTTTGATTAAAAACAAGATGAAAATGCGTTTTATAGTTGAATGTTGAACTTGCAAAAGCTACAGTCGAAAAACACGCGTTAATCGTCTCAATACAGCGGTGATGGACAAAGATGTTTCAGTTTAGAAAGTGACGAATGTTGTTCTTAAAATGTTTATATGCCCACGCAGTTCATTTCAAATAATGCTGCACTTGAGATGTCTGCCATTTCTATTCATCTCTGAAACACCCCACGTTTTTCTCCAATGATGCCAAGCGAATAAGTACCAACGCAGGCATTATTGTTAGTTCAATTCAATACAGTTTTATTCACAAAGAGCCAAATCAAGAGGATCAAGGCACTTTGTATTGTAAGGTAAAGACACCGCAATAATAGTGTTTTAGAAATTTCAGATCTCTCGCTGCTGATGTCTAACGCTCATTTCCCCTTACCATCTTCAAAAATCTATTTATATTTCATTCTTTAAATCTGGAAACAAGTAAAGAAGGTCGTCTTAATATTTAATCTAAACTTTGTGCAGTTTTTGTTTGAAAATTCTTACAGATCAGGGTCATCACCGATGACCTCAGAGTTTTAAAAAAAGAATAAAAAGAGACGACTACAACTATCCTTCGAGTTTTATATTTTTCTTTTCTCGTTTTAAATTATTTACATTCATTCTTCAAAGTGTGTCAATTTGATTATCTGAAGTACATAAAGCGTGTGTTTGGGTGCTTTTGATGTGATGAAACTTATCAAAAGATTTTTGGGTGACGATCAAAGAGTGTAACGGTGAAGAACACGTTCCCCCGCGCGATGAACTCGGCGTGACTGTCGGAAAATAAAGCCTCCAGTCGCCACACAAACATGCATATTTATTTATTTATTGCGAGAGAGCTGACAAGTTCTCAGTTTAAAACCTAAACTTGAAGGAAATGCTGCAGGCAAATATCAAGCTTCGCCTCTCTTTATCCTGAAACGAAACACCTGTACGTGAAAGACACAATGCCTCCGCAGAAACTCAATATTTCAGGATATCTTGCCACAAAAGCGCTGAAAGAACAAAGACATCGGCGAGCTCAGAAAAGGGCGCCGCGTGCTTGTTTACCTCCGATTTGTGATTTGAGGGCTTCAACCTGGGAAGTGAGAGTAGAGACTTCTTTTTCCCTTTTCAGCAGCTTCTCCATTGTTTCTGCAGAAAAACAACATAACAGCCATGAGATGCCTCGCTCACAGAACGCTCCGATGATCCAAATCAGTGCGGTGATTTGTGACTGGAGTGCCACAAAGTTTTCCACAGTTTTGTGTTACTTCCTTATCTGTCACTTGGCAGGATACAGTGAAATCCTATGAAGTTAGTGGACAGACGCCCTTGTGTACCAGAAGAGCTGCGATTTTCTCGAGCTTTTTAGCCATTAGACGCTTAAGTGAGATTTATGTAACAAGACAGAGGCTTGTGAGGTCTTTATTTATAGACTGTGACTCAAATCTATTTTATTTCACAAAGACATACGCATAATGAGTACTGGTCAGTATTTAGTACCTCGAAATACATTATAACCTCATATGTAGGATATTTTAACTTGACATATTTATGACCAGTTTAGGGAACTGATTTGCTTCCTATCTTTTTTTTTCTTCCTTTCTTAAGCTTGATTCCACTGTTATTATAAATATAATTATAAGGCCCTTTTGTAACCACTAGCCATTTAGCTTAGCTTAGCGCAAACAGTGGAAATAACTAGCCTGGCTAGCTTCAGCAGAGCAACAAAATCCACATCTCAGCTTTGCTTGTATGTGGAAATGACTGTCTGGTGTTTGTGTTTTCATGTGTTCCCAAAATAATGGGGAAAAAGTAGGGATGCAACGATACCAATTTTTTCAAACCGATACGATACCGATACTTGGATCTGAGTACTTGCCGATACTGAGTACAAAAACCGATACTTCTACCACAAACACAAATGCAATGAATTGGAAGACAGGCTTTATTTTATTCTCTGCCAATAAAAAAATAAAATTGTAATAAAAATGACCACAAAAAAAATTTCAAGTGAAAAATAAGCACTTCTGTTAAATTATTGCAGAGTCTCCACATTGTAATTTAACAAAATATCACTGAACTACTGGGCACTGTCTCGAGCTTTCAGAATAATAAATAAACACTTCTGTTTGGAATAAAATAAATACAAATTAGGTTTGAGAATAAAATAAACTTTTAAATTATTGCAGAGTGTCCAATTTCATATCGCGGCTCGAGTATGCTGAGAAGACGGTTCAATCCTATGTTTTCCACGACCGCCATTGGCTGGTCATCCAGAGCGATAAAATGAGTCAGAGCCTCTGTTATTTTAACTGCCTGTGGATTTTCTCTTGACATTTTTCATCGCTTTTCCAAAACCTGAGTTAAAGTTGGCTGTTCCACACTGCTGACATTTTGTTTAGCCTAGCTACAGCAGCCTCCAGTTTCTCTTTTTTATCTGGAGCCGCCAGTCTCACTCGCCTAACCCTGTGCCTGTTTAGCGCAGGATGTCCCCCTAGTGGCCAATCTAAAAAACTACAACAGAAATGACAAGCCACCCTCTGACTAATGAAATAAATTAGTATCGGTTCATGGTATCGGTTAACTTTTACGAGTATGAGTACACACACATTTTACAGTATCGGCCCCGATACCCGATACCAGTATTGGTATCGGTGCATCCCTAGGAAAAAGTGTATCTGAATGACAAAAACTACCAGAGCCGGCCGAGTAGTAGTTGATGCTTAACTCCCAGAAATGTGTCGGACTAGTCACAAAACATAAAGGTGTTTTTATGTTGACAAAACTTACAAGATTAAAAGGGAATTAGTGGTGAAAAGCAGATGGAAATAGGCAGAAGTGGTCTCTATTCAATATTATTTTAACAACACATTCTCAGGAGCAAGGAGGGCGGCATTATTCCTAAAATGCTGAGCTCTTTCTTTAAAGTGGTTACGTCCCTTTTTTTTCTGCCAAGCTTTTAAATTTCTTCTCATCTCGAGTGCATACATGGGTAATATGACGAGAACAATGGGAAGTAACACTTTGGGAATCACTGGGAAGTAAGAACAAGGAGCAAAAAGCACAAACGTGATTAAACTAAGAAAGCAGATCAGCTGAAGTGTGTGCGATTGGTGTGCTTTTTTTCATGAATCTGTAGTCGGGATTAAGATAAACACAAACCTACCTTCTATGTTCTGTTTTAGCTTCATCTTCTCATCTGAAATTTCATTATCTTCTATCACCTGAAAGAGGAGAAAGTGTCAGGTGCTGAATTTGCATCTAAACCCTGCAGGTGCCTCTTTCTCCTCAGCCACTCACATTAGCATCATTAGATGTGAAGCGCTCGGCCTGGATGGCCTGGAGCTGGTTGGCCGTCACCCTCAGCTTCTCCTCGAGTTTCTGGATCTCTTCTTGGCTCGCCTCCTGAGCTTTCTGCAGAGCCTGGTAGTCCGTCATCTGCTTCTCTGACAGCTCCAGCCTCTCCCTCAGCTCCTCCGCTCTTTTGTTCTGCTCCATCTGAAGCGTCTCCATATCTGCCAGCCTCTGCTCCGCCTTCTGTAGCTTATCCGTAGCTGCCTCCAGCGCATGCTTTCCACTTTTGGCTTCCAATTCAGCCCTCCATGACTGGTTGCCTTCAGCCAGCTGGTCTTTGGCCTCCTGCAGACGAGCGCAGAGGTCCTCTCGTTCCTTTGTCAGGATGGCAGCTTCAATTTTATGTTTGGCCTTGAGGTTCTCCACCTCTAGCTGGTGCTCCATCTTCAGGCTTTCCAGGGTGGCTCTCAGCTCCTGGGTGTCCTGCTCTTGACCTTCTGTAGCGGTATGATTACTGCTCAGTGTTGCCTTTAGTTCCTCCAAGGATCGCTGGTGGTCACTGACTAAAGTGTCAAATTTATCCTGCAAGAGAAAGTGAGAAAGATCGCAGTTTTAGGTCATACTTGCTGCATTTGTGAAACGAATCAATTCAAATCATCTAATACCCATTCAGGGGATAATGCAACCCAAAGATTTAACATGCATGCTTTTAAAAAATTTGAATAGTTAAATCTAATCTCATTGTGTCTGGTTGTGCAGATGGCTTGGTGCAGGATCTGCAGTGCTGCAGATGCTCACTGGTCTGTTGTGGTGAAGAGAGAGCTGAACGTGACGGCAAACCTGTGGATTTATGAGTCACTAAATTGCCAAATGCATTCACTCCTCCATCCAAGTCATTGAATTCAGGTGTTCTAATCACTCCCATGGCCACAGGTGTATAAAATCAAACACATAAGCGTTCACAAACATTCGTGAAAGACTGGGTCGCTCTCAGGAGCTCAGTGAGCGTGCCGCTGTGACAGGATGGCACCTGTGCAAGTCCAGTCGTGAAATTTCATCCCTACTAAATATTCCACAGTCAACTGTTAGTGGTATTATAATGAAGTGGAAGGGATTAGGAACGACAAAAACTCAGCCACAAAGCGGTAGGCTAAATAAAATCACAGAGTGGGTCAGTAGATTCTGAGGTGAAGAGCACGCAGAGGTTATCAGTTTTCTGCAGAGTCAATCACTACAGACCTCCAAACCTTCAGATTAGCTCAACAACAGCGTGTAGGGAGCGTCATCAAATTGGTTTCCTTGGCCGATGCAGTTGTGTAAAGCACGCTACCACTGGACTCTAGAGCAGCAGAGACACGCTCTCTGGAGTGATAAATCACGCTTCTGCCTAGCAATCCAATGGATGAGTATAGGTAGGTTTGGTGGTTGCCAGTTTGGTGGAGGAAGGATTATGGTGTGGGGTTGAATTTCAGCAGTTGGACTCGGCCCCTTAGGTCCAGTAAAAAGAACTCTCAATGCTTCAGGATACCAGGACATTTTGGATGATTTCATGCTCCCAACTTTGTGAGAACAGTTTGGGGATTGCCCCTTCCTGTTCCAACGTGACCATGCACTTTTGCGCAAACAAGGTCCTTAAAGACATGGATGAGCAAGTTTAGTGTGGAAGAACTTGACTGGCCTGCACAGAGTCCCGACCTCAACCTGATAGAAAACCTTTGGGACGAACTAGAGCAAAGACTGTGAGCCAGGTCGTCTTATTCAACATCAGTGTCTGAGCTCACGAATTTGCTTCTGGAAGAATGGTCAGATCTTCCCATAAACACACTAAACCTTGTGGAAAACCTTCCCAGAAGCTTTTATAACTGTAAAGGGTGGGCTGGATTAAGAACGGGATGTCATATGTTCTTGAAGGCAGACGAGCGAATACTTTTGGCAATATAGTCAATGTTTCAGTTTGTGGTCATACTTTACCTACGACCACAAATGCAAGTGTCTTTTCACACCGCTTTAAATGCCTGTTTGAATTTCAAGACTTGATTTTAGGGTTGAAGTTAGAGTTAGGTTAGGTTTAGGTTGGGCTGCCACGTTTGAATTGGGTGGAATGTACGGATGATGAGATGAGTGAAGAAGGGATGGACACAGAGAGACTTCTCAAATTATTAGTAGGAAGAAATTTTGATTAGATGTAACATTCTTATTCTTGTTATAGCCACCCTGATTTACCTTTTTTCTTTTTGTAAATCCTTTGAAATTTTGTAAGCAAAACTGAATCCTGCTCTAAATGAAGGATTCCTACAAACACATAACTGCACTGACATGACCACACTACTCTGGCTGACTTGAAGACAGTTATACAAAAACAGAGCAGCGTACCTTCCAGGTGTCCATCATTTCCACGTTTTCCTTGGCAGCCTGTTGAACTTTCTGTTTCATGTCATTGATCTCCACGTTCTGTTTCTCCACGACAGCCTTCAATGAGTCGATCTCCTGCTGGCTTGCTGCTGAGGCAGTCTCGTACTTCTCTCTGAGCTCGCTGCTCTCCTTGTAGTGCTCCCGGCCCGCTGACAGCAGCTGCTCGCGCAGCAGGAGGGTCTCTGGCTGGGCGTCGGACCCCTGGGCCGCATCAGCACGGTCAGCTTTCTGCCAGCTTGCATCAGCCCCTTTGAGCTGGACCTGGAGATTCGTGATCTCGGCTCTCCTGAGGCTGAGCTCCTCCTCCAACTGCATGATGCGGCTCTTCTCTTCAACTGTAGTTTGCTGATGAGAAAGAAAGCAAGAACCCAGCACTGCTTTTGAAAGTTTTTTCTCTAAGGAGAAACATGTTGTTTCTATAGAGTAATTGTATAGAAGACCCTGCAACAGACTGTCATTCCAAAGAAACAAAGGTGACGTGACGAAGAGCGGAAATCAGCCCATAAGAAAAGGAAAACAGAGAAATCTATGCAGGTCCTGGAGATGTGCATTGCAGAGGATTTACAGTACAAACAAGTGACATAAAGTATGTGGACAGCAACAGATTGTTCAACAGCTTGGCTCCCAGTGAAGATGCTACAATGACTCTCAGAGTATTTTTTCTCATTGGTATTTTTGGAAAAGTTATAACACATAACTGCAAACAAAGTCTGGATGTGTGCATACAGGGTGTAATTTGTTGGGATTTACTGCCGCTAAAACATGCAGCCAGGGAGGATGATGTCCTAACTAATTTGCCATTAAATGAAAACCCATAGCTGATTTCAATCTGGCCTATTTCGCTTTCGGTCTCAACTCTTTGGATAGCGCTGGACCACGTCCAGTGTGGACATGCTGTATGTGCCAGATTGCCCCAAACGTGTCAAATCAGATTAAATTTGAATTTTATTTTGTGGAAGAGGCGAAGCAGATTAAGAGATTAGGATGGATGATGCACGAATTTTGCATTGGTGTGGGCTGCGTGCAACAAGACAATGCATGAGGTGCGCCTCCCTTCAGGTCGTTTATGCTGAATGTTCTCCCTCAGACATGTCGGGAAGTTATAGTAAAACGCTGCAACAAAATCAAAAGAACAAACAGGTCCCGGTCACGTTCCCAACCTGATGTGATGCTTTCAGGCTTGGATACTGCAGAGTGTTCAGCTGAAAACTGCTGCTGGTTGGACCAGGCTGATCTGTGTAAGAGGTTCAGGTCCATGGTTAAACTGTACATGTGTAAATCCAGGTGATGAGAACGTGACACTAAAAACTCCAGCTGTGCCTAAAGCGACCCAGAAATGCAAACCTTTGAAGGGATGATGGGCCAAATTTAAATCTGGTATGAGCTTCGATTTTTATTTATTTAGTTATTTTTTTTCCAGCTTAGGCCCAGAAGTTTATTATCACCCTTTACTTCCTAAGAATTCTGTACCAAGCTACCCGGCACCACCTGGTAGACTTATGCAACTAACT